CTGGGTATTGGCATAAGAAAAAAAAAAACTTCTATAATCTTTGCTAATGTTGTGGGACTCAAACCTATGAATTTATAGTATAAATTCTATCAATTAATTTCCACTTACCCAATTACTAATCTGATTCACCATTTCTTCAGTAAAGAACTGAGAATTGAAAGGCTGAGTTAATATAACTGGTTGTCCTCTCTGGATAGCTCCATCTCTGATTTGTGGATGAGTTGTCAACTGTGTCCATACAAACATATTCAATCCAGTTATCTTTGTCATTATAGAAGTATATAATTTAGGGGCTGGGATTGGGGCTCAGCAGTAGAGCACTCACCTAGCATGTGAGAGGCCCTGGGTTCAAACCTCAGCACCACATATGAATAAATAAATTAAATAAAGGTATTGTGTCCAACTACAACTAAAAAAAATTTTAAGTATATAATGAGATGTTATATAAAACATTAAAAATGAACTTAAGGGTCCCCCCCCTTTGCAGGGCTGGGGATCAAATCCAGGGCCCCACCTATGCTAAGCAAGCACTCTACTACTGAGCTACACTCCTAGTCCTCAAACAAGTTTATATGAAAAGAAAGTCGAACATTTTATAGAACTCTCCAAGGCAAATGGCTCATATAAATTGCTACTGAGTTAGATGTGAAAATCATATGTAAATCAGGAGGAAAGCATAACAGTATGGATTCTGCACTCAGAATCCTTTGTAAATGCTTTAAATTTACGCTCCACTTTAAAGAAACCAGAATTGGGGGCTGGGGTTGTGCCTCAGAGGTAAAGCACTCACCTAGCATGCATGAGGAACTGGCTTGATCTTCAGCACCACAAAAAAAATAAAGGGTTAAAATATAAAAGGTAAAAACTAAAGGTGTTGTGTCCACCTACAACTAAAAAATATTGAGAGAGAGAGAGAGAGAGAGAGAGAGAGAGAGAGAGAGAGAGACCAGAATTGGAAATCTTCTATCAGTGGTTCTCAATAGGGCAGTACTGACCCCTAGGGGTTATTATGGAAACTTGGACATTTTCATTTGGTTTCACTACTGGTTTCTGGTGAATTGGGAGCAGGGATTTTGGACATCCAGCAATGGCCTGCACAGTCTTGGGAAGTCCCACTGAATATAGAAAACAACACAACCCTATTTCTTCTTCTCAAGGAGTTGAAGTATAATTCCCCCATACGTGTGGGCTTCCTTTCAAAGAGTACAGAAAGGGGATGGGTGAATAACTGTGTTGGAGAAACTTGACAAGCATCATCTCATCCATAACTTTCCCCCAAATTCTTTGGGGCTTTGGGGAGGTAATTAGGCTATGAGGGCAGAGCCTTCTTGAATGGTGTTTTGTTACTGGGGATTGAACTCAGGGGCACTCAACCACTGAGCCACATTCCCAGCCCTATTTTGCATTTTATTTTAGAGACATGATCTGAGTTGCTTAGTGCCTCGCTGGTTGCTGAGACTGGCTTTGAACTCATAATCCCCCTGCCTCCACATCCCAAGCCAAAGGGGGAATAGTGTTCTTGTTTTTAAATATTTTTTGGTTGCAGTTGACACAATACCTTTATTTTATTTATTTTTATGTGGTGCTGAGGATCGAACCCAGGCCCTCGCAGTCTAGGCTAGCCACAACCTCAGCCCAGGAACAGAGATGATTTCTCTTGGCAGTGTGAAGACACAGCAAGAAGTTGCCTATCTACAAGCCAGGAAAGGGATCCTCACCTAGCCCTGGGTCAGCTTGCTGGTGCTTTATCATGGACCTCTCAGCCTCCTAAACTGTGAGAAATAAATGTTTGTTGTTTAAGCCTTCTAGTCTATGGTATTTTTGTTATAGCAGCATGACCTAAAACACAGTGTTAAGCAAATCCTAGTCAAAATACGGTGTGGGGAGACCACAAATGATTACTGTTCACCCATCAGCTCAATATTCAAATCGCCTGTATAATAATGGAATCCCAGCCTCAGCCCTGTAGGGCTCATGGGCCATGACTCCACACTGACCTTAAGCCACAGTACCACTGTCTAATCATAGAAGAAAACTTCTTGTCCTCTGCTTTGTTTTTTCCTGTCACCACTTGTCAGGAAAGTTAATTTGGAGGTGAATTGTTCTAATCCCTAGGAAGGCCTGCTTATACAATATTTTTTTAATGCACATAGGAATGAAATTAAGAAATAAACAAGAACTGTCTTTGGCAAGATTTATTTAGCAAGTAGAGAAATCTTCTTTTCCTGGAAATAAGGTTTGAAGTTATTGAATTTATGAATCTAAGAGGGCTTCCATTTGACAATTGTAGCATTCAACACTGAAACTGGTTTTCTTAAGTTTCTATGACTCACACTTTAATATCTGATTTTTCTTCTTTGTGTACTTTCTTGCCACAATCCTTTATTCCTTATTTCCTTTCCTCTTCCCACCCTTCTTTTTTTTTATGATTTTATTCTTGTAATTCCCACCTTCTTTACCTATACAAACTACCTGGTTAACAGGCTGTATACAATTATGACTACTCCCAGTTCAGAATGACCTTGCAAGCCATTTCAAATCCTTTCAGTACTAAGGACAGCCTTTTGGAAGAAAGAACTTGATTGAAAGAAGTTTACAAATTAAATGGTCTTATCTAAAATTTTGTTTCAGCTATTTGTTTAAATTGCTCATATAAATTACATTTCATCTAAAAAGGAAATATAAAGTGTTTCTAGCAGTGCAAGAATAATTGGCATGGCCTATCCAAAGGTCTTTCCCTACAGTCTACAGAAAATCTAAACCACAAACTGGATGTTTTTATTCTCTGGGCCATAAGACATTTTCAAAATCACTATGATTTTTTGAAATCTAGCAAACCATCAATTATAGGAGGGAAGACTACAGAGCTGATTTCTGATAACTAAGTTATGCTACCAGTGAGTATAATGTGATTACTAGAAGCATAAAGACCATAGGGTAGGGAAGACTCCTTGTGAGTTGGGTATCACCCATGCAGGAGTAATTGTGTGTAGGGTAGCCTGTCTTATAGACTTCTAAGCTTCCACCCTCATTGTGATACTCAGGCCCAAGAGTTAAGAGCACAGTGTGCAAACTCACTGAAGGTTTTACAATAAGATACTAGTGCAGGAGGCATGGTGAGGAATTTTGAGGCATAATCTAAATAGTAAAAATAATAATGAGATCTTGAGTACTTGAGCCTATTCATATTGCCTTCTATTCATTATATTTTGCATGTGTTATGGTTTAGATATGAGGTGTCCCCCAAAAGCTCATGTGTGAGACAATGCAAGAAAGTTTAGAGGTGAAATGACTGTAGAGCCTTAACCTAATCAGCATATTAATAATTCACTGATATGGATTAACTGGGTGGTAACTGTAGGCAAGTAAGGTGTGGCTGGAAGAGGGAAGGGATGTTCCTTTGGGGTTTGTCTTTTGTTGCTGGTGAGCAGAGCTCTCTCTGCTTCCTGATTGCGGCCCGAGCTGCTTTCATCTTCCACACCTTTTGGTCATGATGTTCTATCTCACCTTGAGCCCAGGGCAATGAAGTTGGTCATCTATGGACTGAGACCTCTGAAACCATGAGCACCAAATAAAACTTTTCCTCCTCTAAAATTGTTGTCATGTCTTTTAGTCATAGCAGCAAAAATGTTAACTAAAACAACATGTCTAGCCTTAATACTAGAGTATTAAGTGATGTACAGTATATTATAGCTTGGTCTGAGGCATGGGTACCTAGCAAATCTTATTCCCTCCCTCCTCCCCAATCCCAAATAAATGAGGTTAGTCCTTGATCCTTAAAAGTATTTTAAATAAAAAAAGAAATTAGTTTTTCTATCAGTATCCCTGTCAACATGATTCTGAATTGCTCTCAAGAGAACCTTCTCTTTTGTAAAATAAACACTTTATACTGTTTGAAGTACACATGAAGATTCATTTTTGTTCAGTGTTCTTTACTTTCCATTGTGAAAAGTTATTTCTGAGGAACTGAAACCCCAGAAGATAACCACCACAAAAAAATGATAAATGTTTCTTTTTCAAAAGATGATGATTCAAAGGCAGACCTGAAGAAAAGTAATATTTAGGAGACAGAAGGCAGCAAATGCAGCCTCTAAAGGGAATTGTTATAATTATTGCCTAAAAAGTAAAGTTACAGAACTACATTCAAGGTCATAAGATAAAGCACTACTTTAAAACTAGAATGATCACTTAGGTGGAAAAACACAGCTGAAAAAGGAAAGTGAAATAGACTAAAGAATAATTTGAACTGGAACAATGATCCATCAGTTCTAGATGCTTCTGGTATCTGATATCTTGAGTCGTATTGTTTCCTTCCTTATCGCCATCTTCACTGACATCTTAAAAGGAGCATTCTCATGAACTAATAGTTGCTGCTATTTTGTTTGGATTCAAAATTTCAATCCAGTAACCATCAGGATCTTGAATAAATGCCAGACCTTTCATTTTACCTGTAAATTAAAATTTTTCATTACTGGAAAAACTCAAAAGAACCATCAAACAAACAAAATCCTTGTAAAAAAAATTTTTTTTAAATAGTTTTATTAATTCAAATTTTAATTTACATTTAAAAATACACTATTTTGTCTGTAGGTTTTAGAAAAAAATTTTAGTTGTCAATGGACCTTTTTATTTATTTATTTATATATGGTGCTGAGAATCGAACCCAGTGCCTCATACATGCTAGGCAAGTGCTCTACCACTGAACCACAACCACAACCATATTTGTAGTTTTAATTTTTTTAAGTTGTATATGAACACAATATCTTTATTTGTTTATTTATTTTTATGTGGTGCTGAGAATCGAACCCAGGGCCTCACACCTACAAGGCAAACATTCTACCACCGAGCTACAGCCCCAGCCCCTGTAGTTTTATACTTTTAAAAAATTCTATAATGTGGGGCTGAGGATACAGCTCAGAAGGTAGAGTGCCTGCCTCACATGTACAAGGCCCTGGGTTCAATCCCCAGCACCAAAAAAAAAAAAAAAAATTCTATATTGTGTGCTCACTTTGGCAGTACATATACTAAAAATTAGAATGATAGAGATTAGCATAGCCCCTGCACAGGAATGATATGTAAATTTGTGAACTATTATTTATTTTTTAAAAGAAATTCTAAATTGTGCTGGACCACCTGTAATCCCAGCAACTCAGGAGGCTGAGGCAGGAGGATCAAAAGTTTGAAGCTAGCCTGGGCAACTTAGTGAGACCCTGCCTCAAAATAAAAAATTAAAAGGGCTATTAATGTAGCTCAGTTGTAGAGCACTCCTGGGTTTAATCCCCAATAGCAGAGAAAAAATTCTATCTTGTCAGTGTTGCCCAAATTTATGTTTTTCATAATAACTAAAATGTTATTTTCCACACACAGCTGAAAACAAGCTCTCCTAAAATAAACCATGGGACTGAAACATCTGTTAGGTATCAAGTGTTTACCTCATCTTCATGATACACTTCATAATACCAATTCAGCAGTCACAAATAATAATGTTAGTATTATTTTGGGGTACCAGGGATTGAACCAAGAGGTGCATAACTTCCGAGCCACATCCCCAGCTTGTTTTTTTTTTTTTTGGTCTTTTTGAGATAAGGTCTTGCTAAGTTGCTCAGGTCCTTGATAAGTTGCTGAGGCTGGCTTTGAAATTGTGATCCTCCTGCTTCAGCCTCCCAAGATGCTGGGATTACAGGTATGCACCATTGTGCAATTACCATTTATTTTTATTTTTATGTACCCAGGAGTGAACCCAGGGGTGTTTACCACTGAACCCATCCAAACATCCAAAGCACTTTTTTTTGTATTTTATTTTAGAGTCAGGATCTTGCTGAGTTACTTAAGGCCTTGCTTAGTTCCTGAGGCTGACTTTGAACTCACGATACTCCTGTCTCAGACTCCTAAACAGCTGGGATTACAGGCCCGCACCAGCCCCACATTATTTTAAAGATGAAAATAGGAAGGTGCTTAAGAGAGCAGATAGTATGTCCTACCTACACAACCAAAAATATCTACAGACTTGAGTCACATAAATCTGACAATCAGATTCTTTCTCCCAGAAATTCGTAACTGGGATGGAAAGGCTAACAGGTCAGAGTTGTTTGCTTACATGTAAAAATGTAACCTGAGAAATTTATTTTGGGACCAAGATGCTGAATTGATTTGTCTCCTTTCCCTGGATGCTTTCTCCAAGGCTAACCCAAAAGGATACAAATGGAAAACATTGGGGGGAAAAGTGAGGATTTCAGGGGGGATGGATGAGAAGAACAGGTGGAAGCGGGGTAGAGTGACTATTTTAACCTAGTCTCTGTGGGTCAGACCAGAAGGAAGTACATTACAATTGTGGGAGAATAAGCAGGAGTTTTGCTTTTGCTCCCCTCAGCACCTGGGGCATGGGCACCTGCCCTTACTTACACTTAGGGGCTCAAACCATTGGTTAACAGCCTTAGGATTAAATAAGGATGGCACAGAAAACTTATGCTTATGAGGACCTGAGAAAGGGACTACCTCATCTCCCTACCCACTTCCACATGCCCAGGGGTAGGGAATGACAATCTCAGAAGGGTTTCCTACTTTTCCCTTAGGGACAAAGTTGGAAAGAGTTGTTGTGGGGCATGTAAAGAGTTTGACTCATTTCCAGGTTCTGAGGAATTTCAGCCCTGGCTTACCCTGCCCATTTTCTTAACATCATTCAGGTTGTTAAGGACAGGACTTCCTCTATTCACGCTATACGAGGGACTGAAATAGCAAACTACTGTAGGGGTGTGTGTGTGTGTGTGTGTGTGTGTGTGTGTGTGTTTGTAAGTTTAGAGGTCAAAATAACAAGAATTTAAAGAACATAACAATTGAATATATGTATGTGTATATGTGTGTGTGTGTGTGTATATTTATTTATTTTTTATTTTTTATATAAAATTATAGCTGGGCATGGTGGCACATGCCTACAATCCCAGCAGCACAGGAGGATGAGACAGGAAGATTGCAAGTTCAAAGCCAGTCTCAGCATTTTAGTAAGGCCCTCAGCAACTCAGCTAAACCTTATCTCCCAACACGATGAAATATTAGGACAATATGGACCAAAAATTATTAAAACATGTAAAATTGATGGACAATATGAAATAATATTACCAACATGAAACAAGAACAAGAAAATATTAAAGGAACCAAGCAAAAATAAGGAACCAAAAAAAAAATAGATTAAAAACACAATAGTTGAGGGCTGGGGATGTGGCTCAAGCGGTAGTGCGCTCGCCTATGCGTGAGGCCCAGGTTCGATCCTCAGCACCACATACCAACAAAGATGTTGTGTCTGCCGAAAACTGGAAAATATATATTAAAAAAATTCTCTCTCTCTCCTCTCTCTCTCTCTCTCTTAAAAAAAAAATAGTTGAGTTAAACAGCAGAACAGATACATTTGGGGAATAATTAGTTAACTGGTATATCAGTTTGAGGAAATATCTCTAGAAAGAAGTAATAGTAATATAAAAACTTCCAGAATAACACAGAATACACTATATAAAGAAACCCAAACAGATTGACAGTATATTTTTGAACTGTAAAACTATGCAAACCAGCAATGGAGTAGTATTTCAAGATTGAAAGAAAACAAACCTAGGATTTTGAACAAAACTATCATTCATATAAAAAGATGATTCTTGGGCATACAAAGTCTCAAAAGTTTTGCCTCAAATATCTTTGGAAAACAGTTTTGGTTGAGGTACTCATAAAAAGGGACAAAAGGGGCTGAGACTATAGCTCAGTAGTACTGTGCTTGCCTAACATATGGGTTTGATCCTCAGCACCACATAAAAATAAATAAATAAAATAAAGGTATTGTGTCCATCTATAACTAAAGTATATATATGGGATATATATATATAAAATATATATATGCATATATATATGGACAGAGAAACTCAAAAGATGCTACAAGAGATATACGCAGAAAAGATTTTCAAAATACCTTAATGTATTTAATGCTATTTTTTAAAATACCACAACCAAAGAAAAAGAAAATATGGATCAATAATATCCCAGTCTATGTAATGTGACATGATGGGGGTTGAGGGGAATAAGTTATTTTCTTATAGGGGAAGAGATATGGATGTTAAATATTTTAATTTTTAAAAAAAGGTTAAAATAAAATAATGAACATTTTAACTTAAAATAATAAATTTTGATGGCAGAAACAGATCCCAAGTAAAATAATCATAATACATGCAAATCAAACAAAACCCAGATAAATACTATTTCAAGAGACATACCTAAAATATAAGTACATACAAAGGTTGTAAAGTACTAAAAAAGAAATACTAGATAATAATTAACTAAAGAGACCTGGTATTGTTATGTTAATATCAAATAAAACAAACTCATTTTTGTTTTGGGGGGGCGGTTCTGGGGATTGAACCCAAGGGAACTTAACCACTGAACCACATCCCCAGCCCTATTTTTTTTTAATTTAGCGACAAGGTCTCATTGCCTTGCTTAGGGCTTCACTAAGTTGCTGAGGATGAGTTTGAACTGGCGATTCTCCTCCTGTCTCAGCCTCCTGCGCCGCTGGGATTACAGGTGTGCCACTGCACCCAGCTTAAACTTATTTTTGGATGACCCCAGTTAAACCCTGAGATAGTGAAAGGTGGTGGCCAAAGAGAGAATGTGATAGGGTTATAGGATGGGAAAAAGAGCCTAGGTTTTTTTGTTTTTTTTAATATTTATTTTCTTAGTTTTCAGTGGACACAACATCTTTGTTTGTACGTGGTGGTGGGGATTGAACCTGGGCCGCACACATGCCAGGCGAGCGAGCTACCGCTTGAGCCACATCCCCGAGCCTAGGTTTTTGATAGCTCTCCAGATCCTGTGTCTAGTCCCTTGTGAAGCCACCCTGTCTTCCATTTCCCTAAGATAACAAAGTATTCTAATAATTTTCCTTCTTGCCTTAAGTTGGCTGATGTCAACTTCCATTACCTGTAGCCCCAAAAGGATTTTACTGTAACTGTGCCCTCTGTGGATGCTTATAAATATTATTTAATTAAAGAAAGGCATGAAATCAGTAAGACTCACCATCATCAGGTTTCTTCACAAATTTAACTCCCAGTTCTTCAAATCTTTTACAAGCTCCATATACATCAGGAACAGCAATTCCAATGTGACCTTAGATGACACCCCCCCCACACACACCAAAAAAAGAAAAAAGAAAAATACAGAGAGAAGGAAGATATAATTATACCAGAGTCTCCAAGTGCCATGGTAGCTTCTGAAACTTGTGTATTTCAAAAACATAACATTTGAAAGCAAACTGAGTCAACTAGGTTCAAAATCTCATAAAGAACAAATGTAGACTGACTAGCTGAGTATAATAGAATAATTATAAATGATATGATACTTAAAATAAACCAATACTACCTTACATATAGTTCTGTTAAGAATAATCTATACAAAGAAGAATCATGCTTGGTAGGTATGTTGTTGGCATTAACTAACTATACAGTAGCCAACTGAAGTCTGTAATCCTGTCATCTTGAATTGACAAATTTTAAATCAAGACAGAAGTGCATACTAACAGAAATTGAGATTCTAATAACCATAGTTTTTTTTTAATTAAAAAGTCAACTGAAAATAGAATATAGAGACTTAAAAGTAAAACTGTTGTGAGTATATTTACTGTGAAATTATATAATTCCTAAATAAGATTTGTGGAAATAAAACATACCTCTAATAAATTGATTTTATTTGTTAATTAGGCCATGATGTTTAAGGTTTACTATAATTTTAAGTATGGATCTCATGTAAAATCAACAAATCCACATTACATATAAACAGACAAACATACCAAATCCCCGAGGGTCTGAATTGCCATTGTGGTAACTCTGAGTCTCATCATTTTCAGTACCCCAATTGCTACAAAAGAAGGGAAAACATAACTTACAGTTCTGTTCTATAGAAAAGATTATATATATACATATATATATATATTTTTTTTTGTATGAGGGATTGAACCCAGGGGTGCTTAATCACATCCCCAGCCCCCCCCTTTTTTTTTTAATTTTGAGACAGGTCTTACTAAGTTGCTTAGGGCCTCACTAAGTTGCTGAGGCTGGTCTTGAACTTATAAT